TTTTTCTAATAAGAAAAAAGGGTGATCTAAATTGAAACCACGATTTTCTTATTATTATGATATGTTATTAAATATATATATATATATATAATTAAAAAGGCACAAACTTGTATTTGACTTCTTAATTATTAAATGAGAACACTTATTAAGACCACCTCCTTTTAACAAGTAAATACAGAGTCCAATTTAGATCACCCTTTTTTCTTATTAGAAAAAGCTGATTATTTTCTAACAGTCTCATCAGCAGCAGCGTCGTAACAAACAACAGTAAACAAAAACATAAACAAACACTACATCTGATGACGGTGTAACAACTGAAATTGTCGTTATTGGGCAGATATATCATCACATGACGGTACTGCAGTTACCGTTTTTACTCTGGTGTAAGTTCTTCATTCATAAAAGCTGAAAAGTGTCTCTCCAGTGTGGATTTTCATGTGTCTCACAAAGAATAACTTCTGCCCAAAAGCTGCTTTACAGATGTTGCACCTGAAAGGTTTGTCTCCGGTGTGAGTGTCGTCGTGATTGTGTAGAATTGTTCCGTATCTGAAACACTGAACGCAGACGGAGCAGCTGAAAGGATTCTCATCAGAGGGGGGTCTTTGAGGGCTGTCATGTCTTACACCGGACGCAGGAAAATGATCTGGCTGAGCTGCACTGCTCTCCTCCCAGTTTCCATCACTGACATCCGTCTCTGATGACTCTGAATGTTTGTCCTCTGGATCAGATTTTAAGTATCGATCTGGACTTGATCTAACAGAGTCTGTGCTCTTATCGTTCCAGTCGTGATGAAGCTCTGAAAACTGAGGTTTCTCCTCTTCATCGTCATCCTTCACAGGGACAGCGTTGAAAATAAACTCCGTGATATCAGCCTCTTCCTGTTCCTCTTTGATCTGCGAGCGCTGTTTGTGAAGAAGCACAGAGGGTTGAGGTTTCTCTTCATCATCTTCACTCTTCACAGGGACAGGACTGACAGTGAACTCTGTGATATCAGCATCCTCCTGTTTCCCCTTGATCTGTGGGGGCTTCTGGTCCAAATTGGGACTCCAGTTGTCCTGATTAGAAAGCTCCACTTCGATCACCCACAACTTCTGGACATCTGCAGGAAACCGAAACACAGATAAGTTACAGCAAATCAACAAAGTCCATGCTCAAATCATTCATGTGTCATCAGAAAATTCCTAAAGACACATTAATCTTGTAATTTGTTCAATGTTATGAAATCAGAGACTGTGGATGATTGTCTGAATGTGACGTTTGTCATAGCTCTGAGAAAAACATTAGGAGCAAAATATCCATATTAATTTGTGATTTGTTCCCCTCTATATAAAAAATAGAGCGTCAACAAAACATAAAACGGTCCAACACACAGTACCCGAATATACACGCTGAGGAGTGGATGGAAGGACAACCCAACGCTCTAACTAGGCCTGTCACGATAACAAATTTTGCTGGGCGATTAATTGTGTCAGAAATTATTGCAATAAACGATAATATTGTTTGAAATTTAACAATAATTAGTAAATATTGTCAAATTTAAGAAGAAATGTTGGTTACATTTGTTTTGAACGTAGTACCTTTTTTTGACCACTGGATGGCAGTATAAGACAGTTTGAACCAAAGGATGGACAGTGAGGGAGCGAGCAGCATGTCTCTAAGAAAAACGGGAGGGAGGCACCTTGAAGTGACATGGGCTGTCTCTTCTTCCTTTTTTCGTTTTTCAAAATGGCGGACACTCTTGTGTAGTTTGAGCTCTTTAACATAGCATTTTCACACAAAGCTTTTAATAAAAAATAAAAAAAATCAGTAAACAAGTTCTCAGCTTCTTTCTGCAGAGAAAAACAACTTTTTAGACGAAGGCACAGGTTTCAACCGTGAATTTTGGAGCTTCGACAAGACGGAAGTTCATGAAAGTAGAGGCCTGAAGCCTAAAGTTACAATGTATCAGCCAAATAGTGTGTCTGACAACAAAACAATATCCAACAAGGTCGAGTCAGGTCCTCTGGATGGATTCTTCTTTGCAGAAACACCATCGTTAGGCCAATGGTCCTCCTTTATCATGCGAACAGATAGCTTTGTCTGTCACCAGCAAACTGGTTGATCCACTATGAGAAGGTGCTTATAAAACTGAGTTTGTTGCAGCTCCTCAGACTGAAATCTTAAAAAAGGGCGAAACGTTTCAACAACAAAGAATCCGTCCAGAGAACCTGACTCGACCTTGTTAGACTCATCTACCTGGATTATTGCACATGCATCAGAACAAAATATTACTTACATTTACCTAGGGACACTTTTTTTTTTCACACATAGAACATGAATTCAAATGAAGGAATTAAACTTACACATTTTTTGAACTGCACGTGGGGAACTTGTTTTCACATCTGCTCCGAAATCCAAAGGGCTTCTTTTATACAAACGTAGAACTGTGAAGGCATCTTTGTTTTGATGGCCATACCCTGAAACATGCCAATATAACAAGTATAAAACAAATTCATAACTGACAAGATGCTTACAATAAGATTGCTCAGCCCACGAGTCCATGTGACCTACGGTAAACAAACCTCGGACAAACTAGGCAGCTGTAATGACAACTGTGAAGCTGACGGACTCACCAGACACTTGGTGTCACATTTTTGCCGTATCAGCCAACAATGAGACAAATAAGATTTTTTATGAGCTGTACGTCAGGTTTGTGAAGTTATTTAAAGGAAAACATGAAGAAATTAAAGTTCTAGACCAAGTTGTTGGCTGAGAATGCAAATGCTGTTTTGGACGCATTTTTCAGTTGCAAGAGAAAAGATTGAAGAGACGACAGAGACGAGCTTGTGAAAATGTGAAGTATATTTTCTCATGTGCATAACAGTGCTTAATTATTTTCACTATACATCTATAAAGTTAATGCATTGCAAATAAGCTGTCAGCAGTGAAAATAGATTACTGTAATTAACTAGTTCTTAGTGCAAAGTGGTTCAAAATGCCAACCTGGCTGAACTGAGGTGTTGGAGTGATGGTCTGCTCTCTTGTGTCGAGTATATGCACTGCAGAGAAAGAGCAATTATTTTGCATAAAGTTTTGTCATTTACAGTAAATTATGTAAATTAAAATAATGTTTTGTATGCTTAATTCTATCACACTGACTAGTTTTTGTTACTTTGGTACATATATAGGCCTGTCACGATAACAAATTTTGCTGGGCAATTAATTGTCTCAGAAATTATTGCGATAAACGATAATATTGTTTGAAATTTGACAATAATTAGTAATTATTGTCAAATTCACGAAGAAATGTTTAGTTGTTTTGCATGTAGTACATTTTTTCGACCACCGGATGGCAGTATAAGACTGTTTGAACTGAAGGATAGATAGTGAGGGAGCAGTCTCTTTGAAAAATGGGAGGGAGGCCCCTTGACGTAACGTGGGCCGTCTCTCCTTGGTTCTCAAAATGGCGGATGCTCGGTGTGGTTTGAGCTCTTTAGCATAACATTTTTCACAAAAAGCTTTTAATAAAATAATCAGTAAACAAGTTCTCAGCTTCTTTTTGTAGAGAAAATCTTTTTAGACCAAGGCACGGGTTTCAACCGTGAATTTTGGAGCTTCAACAAGACAGGTCGTCCCCCCCCCCCCCCCCCCCCCCAGGTCGGCCTGTTAGCTTAGCTTCTCATCTTAGCTGCTTTTAACAATGGTTAAAATGAATTCTGAAGAGAAAAGAGAAAGGGAGGGGTCAGTGAAGAGCACCGGAGTTGAGCCTTTTGTCATCGAGTGTCTTCAGTAGAAAGAGAGACACAAAGGAACAATAAAGCTGATAAATGAAAATGAGGTTGATAATTTTCATTTACAATAGAAATAGAATAGAAACAGCTTTATTGTTCCACGGATGGGAAATTCAAGTGTAACAGCAGCAACAGATAAAAAGATTCACAAAAACATTTATCATGCGATTCATTGATTTATTAATTATCGCAACAGGCCTATACATATATTTCCGTTTAGGTTTATATGATTGACCTTGTTTTAATATTTGTTTTATGTAAAAGCAAATGTGAAATAAAAAATGAGTGAAAATGTATGATGTATTAAATCAAAGAGAAATAAAGCTACTGTAGGTGTTCATGTACCTTACTATGTCTTTCAGTGTCTTTCTTCGTTTTGACGCTAGGCGTTCAGATCTTGGGTGTCGAGCTCGTGTCCTCCTGGCTGATTTGTAGGTCTTTGAGGTCGTGGGAGCAGCGGGAACAGGATCTGAGATTCTGTCTGTTGGCTTGCCTCCAGGAAAATGCTGAAAAATTAATGGTACAATAAATTGGTGCTCACATATAGCTTACAATAAATACTTAGAAACTTAAACTAGAGTTACCACAGTGTGTACTGTACTGTGTAATGTACTACGAGTGTACATTTTACAATACACAACCAGTTAAATGTGGTGCAAAAAGAGGTTTATTGGTAACTGATCATAGTAATCAAAGATTAAACTTATGGGAGCTGATGCACACAGATCTATACACAAAACCAGTCGCAGCTTGCTTTAAGTATTAACCTTCATTTAAGCAAGCTGTTAATAAATGGTGACATCACAACAATTTTTCCTCATATTACTTGTCTGTTGGAAAAGTTTCCCATCTTGTGACATCACTGAGAAGTTTAATTAAGGTAATATTTACCGTTACCTTCTGGAGTCGATTCGTTTTACGCTTGTGGGTCTTCTTCAGTTTTACAGCCTGAAAAGAAAATTACACTATATTAAATTACATTATCATTTTGCAGATATGCTTAAGATTATGATTTTGTTAATACACTGTATGAGGCTACAATAAAATTCACAGACAATACAGAAATAGTTGATGAGCCACACGATGAAGATCTGGGAGAGAGTTGTGGAAGCAAGACTTAGACGAGAGGTGACTATCTGTGAGCAGCAGGATGGTTTCATGCCAAGAAAGAGCACCACAGACGCCATCTTTGCTTTGAGGATGCTGATGGAGAAGTACAGAGAGGGTCAGAAAGAACTCCATTGTGTCTTTGTGGATTTAGAAAAAGCATATGACAGGGTGCCGAAGGAGGAGGTGTAGTATTACATGAGGAAATCTGGAGTGTCAGAAGAATATGTTAGACTGGTACAGGACATGTATGAGGACAGCAGGACAGTGGTGAGATGTGCTGTAGGAGTGACAGATAGCTTCAAGGTGGAGGTTGTAGTGCATCAAGGATCGGCTCTGAGCCCCTTCTTGTTTGCTCTGGTGATGGACCGACTAACAGATGAGGTCAGGCAAGAATCCCCATGGACGATGATGTTTGCAGATGACATTGTGATCTGTGGTGAGAACAGGGAACAGGTGGAAGAGAACTTGGAGAGGTGGAGGTATGCACTTGAAAGAAGAGGAATGAAAGTCAGCCGTAGTAAGACAGAGTACATGTGTGTGAATGAGAGGGAGGAGGTGGAAGAGTGAGGCTACAAGGAGCAGAGGTCACAAAGGTGCAGGACTTCAAGTACTTGGGGTCCACGGTCCAGGAAAATGGGGAATGTGGTAAAGAGATGAAGAAGAGAGTCCAGGCAGGATGGAGAAAAGTTTCAGGAGTGATTTGTGACAAAAGGGTGTCAGCAAAGGTCAAAGCAAAAGTTTACAAGACCGTGGTGAGTCCAGCTATGTTGTATGGTCTGGAAACAGTGGCAATGACAAAAAGACAGGAGAAAGAACTGGAAGTGGCAGAAATGAAGATGCTGAGGTTCTCCTTAGGAGTGACGAGGATGTCTAAGATTAGAATGAGATCATCAGAGGTACAGCACAGGTTGAACAACTGGGAGATAAAGTTAGAGAGACCAGACTGAGATGGTTTGGACATGTCCAGAGGAGGGACAGTGGGTATATTGGTAGAAGGATGTTAGAAATGCAGCTTCCAGGAAAAAGACAAAGAGGAGATATGGATGAAGTTAGAGAAGACATGGAGGTAGATGGAGTGAGGACAGAGGATGCAGAGGACAGAGTGAGGTGGAGGAGGATGATTCACTGTGAAGACCCCTGAAGAGGGAAAAGAAGAAGAAGAAGACAGAAATGCTGGAAACCTTTCATCTGAAAATAGAAATAAAAACATTTACTATTTTCTGAACTTAATTAAGGAAATAATTTTAATGAGAATGAAAACTGTTATGATTTCTTAGTTTTGTTGTGAAACTTTTAATCACTCACGTCACGTGCAATAAAACTGAAACTACATTTATGTGAATTATTATATCTTGGGGAGAAACATTACAGTTCTAGGCTCGCGCGCACGAGACTGCAAAAGAATGGATGCTAATGTAAAGCTAGCAGCGCAAACAAATAAAAGGCTTACTGTACCGGTTGTGCGGGGATAGGATCAGGGTGGCCCTTTGTTGGTCCTTTACCTCCGATGAAATGTTTGGAGCAGATGTACGTCCGTCGTTTCACATTTTCCCGGTTAAATTCGGTTCGTCCCAGTGCTCGAATCCAGAGATCACACTTCTCTGGTCGCGTCCTCGGCTCGGGAAAAGAGAGGAAAAATACCCCTTCCATGTAAGGAAGATGGCTGTATCGTGAATCACTGTTACAGGTACTGTAAACGCAATGTTTTGTGGTCCTGCCGGCAGACTTCGATGGCATTTTGACTGATTGTTTCAGCTAAAACATGCGGCATCGACTCAACTACAAGCTACAAGTCGAGTACAGCCGCTACGTAATGAGTCACGTGACTTTATGTTCTTCTTCTTCGGTCCTTTGGGTGGATACATAAAGCTTAGAGGCTCATACCGCCGCCTACTGTGCATGACGTGTAACTACACATCTTCAAGTGACAACTTTTTTCATTCAACCTTTATTTATACAGGTAAATCCCATTGAGCCTCGAGGACTCATTCACAAGAGAGACCTGATTTCAACAAAGAATGATAACAATGGACAACAGCGACAACAATAGATAGTTATAAAAAGTCATAGAGATTTTTATTTTATTTTTTTACAAATAAGATGGCAAAAAGATTAACAAAACAGCTAGATTATAAAACGAATGTAGAAAACTTAAAACAGGAACATGTCTGCATCGGTCCTTGCCAGGAGTCCAACAGATTTTTAAAGTCATTTAGAGAGGTCAAGGTCGAGAGCATCAGGTCTTTTTGTAAGATATTCCAGGAAACAGGAGCGGAGAAGGAGAAGGCCCTTTTGCCAAGTTCAGTCCTCATTGAGGGGACACTGCAGGTAATAATGTCCTGAGAGCGCACGCTGTAGCTGCACTCACGCAGAGACATGTAGGAGGAGATGTATGAAGGCAGCAGACCAAGAAGTGATTTGAAGATGACACATCTGGGCGGGAACTAAAAAAACATTTTAGCTGAAAAAAAAAAACATTTTAGCGGCAGATACGAGTATTTTTTTTTTCCTTTACATAAATTACAATGGTTGTTTCATGCTGGGTTAGAGAATGTACCAGCCGGGGAGACCGCGTTAAGAATGGCAGCAGCACACACGAACATTACCAGTCACAAAACCAGAGTTAATTAATAAAGCACACTTAAAATAGATCATGGCAAACAGCCGAAATAAAAGAAGAAAAACAACAGAGGAAAACACACAAAGCTAAAATAGTACTAAAATGTGATTAAATGTCTGTTAAAGCATTTACTAACGTATCAATAATTAGTATATGCATAATATATATATATATATACATACACAATGTATATCTTGTTCTTTTGGCTCGAAGAATTGGCAATTATTTTTACATCGGATGCTCTTCCTGACGCAACCACAGACCACTGAGCTACCACAGCCCTCTGTGTGGAGCAGAGAGCTGCATCTAGGGCGCCTGGAGGAGCAGATGGTGGGGGTTAAGGGCCTTGCTCAAGGGCCCAGAGTGGGGCAAATGAGGGTGGAGGCAGGTGTGGGTGCTTTACCTATCCCACCCACATTTTGATGTTGTCGGTACTGGGAGTTGGACGGGCGATCTTCTGATCATAGGCCCACCTTCTCTAACCTCTGCACCACCACTCTCACAATATACATAAATTTTGAAAATGGCAACATTGTCAGACTAGAACTATCTGTTTTGTTTTGTGCACCCCCCAAACTCGTTGAATAAAGCATTGGGAAAACTACTGAAAATATTCCATAACAAGTTAATATTTTGTGTATTGCTTTCTACATTTGTAGCATTTGTTCTATTTTTTTTTTTTTTCAGGAAGGCCTGCAGACTTGTACGACAAGTCCAACTCAGACTGGGCTCCTACACTGAAGTTAAGAGGCACGTTTACTGGAGCAAGTCAGCAAAGGAGCTTTAACAATCTGAGACAAATAAGAGCAGGTAGAAAAGTTGATGACATTTGCAAGTGGCACAATAATTCAAAAATATTAAAGTAAATCTAAGATAAAAATTGCTAAAGTAAATATAAAATTGCAGATATTTTTGAATTAGTAAAAACATTAGAAGCAACTGGTTCTGCTTTGAGTAGGCAAACTTGGAGTCTTACTTTAGACTTTATTTACGTACAGACAAGTGAAAGAACGAGTTCGATCCAAAGTAAAGCCTCATAGTGCGCAGACTCCTAGACCCGGGTGCAGTCTCGGATCCCGAGGTTCTGGCTGCTCCAATGAACCCACGTGAAGATGAGGAATCCGTTCAAGTTTGCGACCTGGTGCTGAAGCAAGAGGACGAACATGAAGATGCAGAACCAGCTCCTGTTTCTGAAAGTCAGGTTGATTCTGAACTGCGGAGATTAAGAACAGAAACGATTCTGTTAAAAGATCAGAAAAATAATTTGAAGTTTAAAAGCTTTGAGAATAATAACCATAAAGTCAGATACTACACTGTCCTTCCATCCTTCCTCATGTTGATGACTGTATTTGATCTGGTGAAGTCATTCATACCTGCGCCTAAATTATTAGGTCCATTTGAACGCTTCATTTATTCAGTCCAGAAAAATGAGGAATCCGTGTTAATTGATGAATATATCTGAGCATCTGTTCATCTTAGTTTGACATCAGGTTAGGTTCACTACATCACTCTAGCCGATCGTGGTTTCGACGGACAGGACAGTGTGAAAATGTACTGTGCGGAGGTCATCGTTCCAAGTTTCAGCAGTGGTAAAGCACAAATATCTGCAGTCGACGTGGAAACCAGCAGGAAGGTTGCACATGTTCGTGCACATGTCAAACGGCTCAGTGGACTTGTGAGAAACAAATACTTTGCTAAAAGCACGTCTGCCAGTAACTACCTAATCAAACATGATGACGGCTTATCATATTAATCATCACACATTATCATCACATTCATATTAAAAACATGGGACTTTTTTCCTGATTCTTGAAAACATTTCACTTCTCAAGTTTTTTTATTTTTTCCCCCAAGCATGTTAAGTGTTTCCAAACGTTTCTTTTCAGTAAGTTTTATCTGAATCAAACCGTCTGCACCTGTTAATAACACAGAAGCAAACTAATCACAAGGTTCATGAGAGTCAAACACTTCCAGTAAACACAAAGACAAGTTTTCAGACAAATAAATATTTTTTATTTTCCAGAAAAGCTCACTTCTTTAAACAGTCTCGTTAGAACATTACGGTGCTGTTATAAATAAAACATAAATCATATACAAAAATAAGAAATATGGAATCTTGTGACATCATCTAAACTCGGGACAGATCTGTTCACAAAATCTGTGCTTTGATTCAGATCACAGTTTTGGTGTCATGGTTTTCAGTTTGATTCCTTCTTTTTGTTTTGTCAACACTCCAGTGATAATACGTCACCAGTATAGATAATCCTCCATTAATGGTTTTTACAATATGTCATTCTCAAAGACATGTCATGTAATCTGAAAATGGGGCAGTTTGACTTTAGCCTAGACAAAAAGTTTTATTTTTTTTTTATTCTTGCTCATACAACAAATAATTCTTTAATGTAAAATCAACACTAAACTTTTCTTGACGCCATCACCCAGTCTGTCAGTGTCTCAGAGAGATGCTCACTTGTGTCGCTCTCAGAAAGTGGACACACCAGCAAGTGGACTTTTTAAATTCCCACTGTCAAGTAATGACAGGAAATTTTCACCAGCCTGGAGGTCCATCCATAAATGGTTACAAATGTCAGACAATTGTTTCATAAACTTTTCAAATTACTGGGTGTACAATGAGTCATCTCACAATGGAGCTACTGGGTTCATGAGACCAAGATTTTAAGATTATTTTTAACAAAAAATATTTAGCCTCAAACTGACTGGCATCTCTCCTGTCTGATTTCATGAGCACGAGCTCTTCGGACCTTGGAACAATGCTTCAACTAAATATAAACGTATGTGACCTTTGAACTCAGGGGAGTCGAGCAAATTCCCAGAAGAGGACAAAATTCAAAAAGAGATTATGGGCCAACCTTTTTTTTTTTGCCTGTAGTTTTGCTACTTTTTTATATTCTTAAGTTTAAATAGTTTTTAAAAAAATTGAAAGAAAATAATTTAATATTTTTGTAAAAGTCCAAACAAAGGTTATTATAATTTTTAAAGTAAGTCTTATTCAACTAGTTTTTTATTCACCATTTTTCCATTTCTAATAAAAAATAAACAAATGCATCAAAACAACTTAAAAAATCCTAATTGAAAATTCAAACAGCTACTAAAATTTTACTCTTAAATTACAGAGGAAAAAATATTTTAAAATAAGGTTAGGGGTCAGAGAATAGAAACCTTTTTCTTCACTTGTATAGCTTCGATTAACTCTTTTACTCTTAATTAAATTATTGAGTTACATATTTTATTTTCTCAGCTTTATAGTCAGTAAATAACCATGTACTGTAAGTGCAACAGTTAGTCTGTTCTGTTTTAAATAAACGTGCACCAGATCTTTTCCTCTCAGCACGTAGCTGCAGAACGGAAGCAACCAATTTACAACTGAGCATGTCGCATGGTCCTAGTGCCTGACGTCTCACTGCGAACAATGATTTTAAGTAAATTTCTCCAGACGTTTTTTTTTTATTTGCAAGTCAGATTTCAACTTGATAAATCTTGACATCTTAATTTCACAAGATCTCGTTCCACCCCTAAAAATGTCCGTCACTAAAGTGACAGTGGGAAACGTCGTTCTTCCGTACCCAGCACTCTTTTTTTTTTTGTGCTGTCAATTAACGCTGGGGTGACGTCTCCATTAAAGTACGTAAAGCAATCGGACGCATAAACTCGAGACTCTGCGTCGACCTTTCACACGTTTAGTCATTTCGGCACTGTCTGAACTTGCTTTTGCACTTCAGAACATCCAAGCTTTTAGACAAAAACAAACAGCGAGCTCCTCAGCATTTGCCCACTACTACTCGTGTTGTTTTTCATGTCTCACCAGGTCACGTTTTCTTATAAAAGCCGCCGCACAGACAGAGCAGCTGAAAGGTTTTTCGCCCGTGTGGTTTCTTTTGTGTTCAATGAAAGCATTGTGCCATTTAAAGGTCGCGTTACAGACGGAACACGTGTACGGTTTTTCTCCAGTGTGACGTCTTTTGTGATGATGTAAATTTTCTTTGTACTTGAAACACTGACCGCAATCGGAGCAGCTGAAAGGTTTTTCTCCACTATGCGTTTTCATGTGTTGCACTAAGGAAGGTTTCCATTTAAAAGCTGCGTTACAAATGGAGCAGCTGAAAGGTTTTTCTCCCGTGTGGATTCTCATGTGTTTTATTAAAGCATATTTCCATGGAAAAGCTACTTGACAAACGGAGCAGATGAACGGTTTTTCTTTATTGTGGCTTCTTTTGTGACTATTTAAACTGTCTCTATGTTTAAAACATTGACCACAAACGGCGCATTTGAAGGATTTTTCTTCACTGTGTGTTTTCATGTGTTTCACTAAGGAGGGTTTCCATATAAACGCTGCATTACAGACAGAGCAGCTGTAAGGTTTTTTGTCAGAATGGCTTTTCATGTGGCGAGTTACACTTTCCTTCCTACTGAAGTTCTGACCACAAACAGAGCAGCTGAAAGGCTTCTCTCCAGTGTGAATTCTAATGTGTTTATCTAAGACGTGCTTCCATCTGAAATCTGCCTTACAGAAAGCACAGCTGAAAGGTCTTTCTCCTGTGTGGATCCTTTGGTGTATTAATAAATACTGCCTGCGTTTGAACGTTTTACCACATTCAGTGCAGCTATGTAACTTTTTATCCCCGTCTTCACATATTCTACCAACAGGCACTTCATTAATATCTGCAGAGGTTAAATCAAACTGGGCTTCACTGCTCTCTGCCCAGTTTCCATCACTGACATCTGTATCTGAAGAATTTGAAGCTTTCTCTTCAGGATCTGATTCTAAATATTGGCTTGATTCTGGTCGCACGGAGTCTCTGTTCTTCTTAGTCCGGTGAAGATGAAGCTCTGAGGACTGAGGTTTTTCTTCATCATCTTCACTTTTCACAGGATTGAATATGAACTCGATGATATCAGCCTCCTCCTGTTCCTCTTTAATCTGTGGGGGGCTTTGGTCCTTCTGGTCTGGACTGGGACTCCAGTTCTTAGGAGGAAGCTCCTCTTTGATCACCAGCACCTGCCGGACATCTGCAGGAAACAGTTTACATCTCATAAAACCCGATAAATCTTCTAATTTAACCAAAGTTGCAATTAATAAACCAATATTTGGCAGTAACATGTAGCATTATCGTCTTAATTTGTTAGAAATCTAAAGAAACCTTTCTCAGATCAGTAAGATATTTATATTAATTCTGTTTTATAAAGATAAGCCAAGTTGGGATGAAGAAAACTGGAAATTTATGATAAACATGCTATTCTTTTTCCAAATACTGATTCACGTGTAGGTTGAAACATTTTGTTATTGTAATCGTGGAGTGTTCAGGGACCAAAAATATGTTTTAGTAAAAAATTAGGAGCACAATTACCGTCAAGTTGAGAAAACAGCTGTTCTCCATTTGGACAGTCCGGTTCTTCCACCGTGGTTCGTTTTTTCTCCATCACCTTCAACATCTTCAACCATCACAGCAATTTTCACCTCGTCTCAAAAACACATTCTGCCCTCCGTCATGATTCATACATTTATTCACTTCCGTCCCCTCTTTGGGCTTCAAGCTAACATGCTAAGCTAAGGTCGGTAGCTCCGCAGTCATCGGAATAAACTTTAATAACGAGAGAATATCAAAAATGGGGCTTTTTCTTTAGAACACACGTGTTCTAATATCTCACCCAGAGAAGAGGGAACACAACGAAACACGGATGGGGGATTGTTTACATCCATCGCTGCAGCTGTCGCTACAATGAAACAACTTCCGTTTACGGACGGAAGTTTATTCCACAAGGCTTTCAAAATAAGAGCTGCAAAAACAAACCTTTGAAAATAAATTTACAGTATTTTGTTTCTTTTATTTATTTTTTAATAAAATACATCAATGCAATAACAATTTTTTAAATAAAATAATTTTGAAACAATAAACTTATATTCAAGGGCAGCACGGTGGCGCAACTGGTAGAGCTGCTGCCTCTCAGTGAGCAGGTCCCTGGTTCAAACCCCGGTCCAGGGGCCTTTCTGGGTGGAGTTTGCATGTTCTCTCCGTGCATGCGTGGGTTTTCTCCGTGTACTCCGGTTTCCTCCCACAGACCAAAAACATGCATGTTAGGCTGATTGGTAACTCTAAATTGTCCCTAGGTGTGAGTGAGAGAGTGAATGGTTGTTTGTCTCGTTTGTCTCTATGTGGCCCTGTGATGGACTTGCGACCTGTCCAGGGTGTACCCCACCGCTTGCACAGTGATTGCTGGACATGGGCACCAGCGACCCCCGTGACCCAAAACGGAACAAGCGGGTAAAGATAATGGATGGATGGAAACTTACATTCAGTATATAAAGAAAATTATGTCAAAATTGCTGAACAAATGTTTAAAGAAGCTTCACGGCCTTCACTACAAATACTTATCTCCCAAATTATTATTCCTTAATCACATTTACACAGTTAAAAAGCTGGTTCACAAATGAAACAGCTGAAAAATTTTGGTTCTGTTGTGTGTTTACAGACACGACCTGCGATTAAAAGTTTTACCACATTCTGAGCAAATGTAAAACCTCTTACTGCTCCTACAGAAGCTTGTTTCACCTTCATTAAAACACAAAAATCATTTAATTTTAAATGTTGCCAAATATTCTACATTTGAGGACATCTTCAGAGAAAGAAGTCCAAAATAGGTTTTGTTAAGTTTTTTTTTTCATTTAGCCTTTATTTATCCAGGTTAGTCTCATTGAGCCACGAGAACTCATTTGCAAGAGAGACCTGTTTTGTTAATGCATTAATTAACAACTTATTGAGGCACAAATGTATCATAACACTTGTGAAAAGTAACAGTAGACGTATAACATGCAAATATCTAATATTATTCTTCCTTCACTTTAGACAGGGCTAAAGGATCACATAAATGAGAAGTTACATAATTTTCCATCAGAAAAAAATGTTATATCTTAACTTTTTGACTAAATGTATTGTGAGCAGACAAGCTTGTTTAGTTTAAGGTACATTTTCTTGACACAGTCGTATTTCTTCAGTAAGCTAATTTGCAAAGTTTCAAATTGCTTTACCCTGGAGAAACATAACCTCAGCTGTAGAAAGGTAAATATCTGTTGGAATAGAATGGTAGTGTACAAATCACTGAACTAGCATAACTTTATTGCTGTAAAGTTTGTTTTACATGCCACAATACTTTTTCATTAAACGGTTTATTTGCTCGTTTACCCTAATGCTTCAACTGCTGCTTGATAACTATATGACAAAAAGTATATAAAGTACAGAGCAAAAGTCTTGAGCCTTCATTTTTATTTTTTGCTTCAAGTAAACCAGACTTCCACATATTCTTACTTTAGAAACAATTTTAAAAGTTGAGGTAACCTATATTCAAAAAGTTTTAAAGATAACCATTCGAGAGAAAAAAACACGCATTTTAAACCAACATTGTGCTGAAAATATGACAATACTGTATTATGGATGGATGTTAGTGTTCAGTGGTTTAACAAGAAGTATCTTCCTTGAAATGATGGAGTACAAAAACTGGACTGAAAACATACAAAGCAGCAACTGATTTTTAAATACCAAAATGTTGGAAAATATATTGCTTACAATAATTGTAAATTACAAGAACATTTGACTTTTTAAAAAAAAAAAAAAATTTAAATCACACACAGGAATCAAACACAGGAGCCTATCTCTAGAATTTTCATTTAAAGCACCATCAAGCCGAGTACGTTTTAAATTCATATATGGAACACAGTTGTGTATTTTTACGCACCTTTCTTTATTTTCAACATCAGTCTCTATAAAGCAGTGAAGATCTCATGAGCTTCGACTGTTGATGGTCGTGTGAATCTTTGGTTGCAGCTAATAATCTTCTCTTGTTCTGCCGTAAAGAACATTTCTATAAAAAAGCAGAAGTCTCGATTCTTTGACACGTCATGTAACGAGTGAGGTATCTTGTTTTAAACTGTACAGCTGAACGATTATTCACCTGTATGGATTTTTGCGTGTTCCATAAACTCCTGCTCATTTCCAAATGCTTCATTACAATCTGAGCAGCTGAAAGCCTTTTCGCCACAGTGGGTTTTTGTGTGCGTTAAAAAAACGTTCCTCCACCTGAAGGTCTCCTTACAGACGGAGCAGCTGAAGGGTTTTTCTCCGGTGTGACATCTCATGTGACGAGTAAGCGTCGACTTTTGACTGAAGCTTTGATCACAGACCGAGCAGCAGAACGGCTTCTCTCCGGTGTGGGTTCTTGTGTGTTCTACCAAGGCGTATTTCCTTTTAAAAGCTGCGCTGCAGACGGAGCACGTGAAAGGTCTTTCGTCTGTGTGCTCTTTTGTGTGCTTCACTAAATCATGTTTCCTTCTGAAAGCTGCATTACAAATGGAGCAGCTGAAAGGTCGCTCCTCCGTGTGGATTACTCTGTGTTTCACCAAGTCCTGTTTCCTCGAAAATGTTTTTGTACAAACTGAGCAGCTGAAAGTTTTTCCTCCTGTGTGGATCTTTATGTGCTCCACAAGAACATATCTCCATCTGAAAGTTGCCTTACAGACAGGACAGCATAAAGGTTTTTCCCCTGAGTGACAGGTCATGTGACTAGTTACGCCATCTTTCCTTCTGAACCTTTGACCACAGATTGAGCAGTGAAACGGTTTTTCTCCCGTGTGAATTCTGTTGTGTCTTAACAATCTCCACCTGTAGTCGAACGTTCTGTCACATTCGGTGCAGCTGTAAAGCTTCTTACCGCTCTCACAACTTGTATCAGCTCCAGGAACGTTATTAGTGTGGAGAGAGTTTAAACGACTGCTCTCTTCCCAGTTACCATTACTGTCTTCCACCTCTGGAGAATCTGAAGTTTGGTCTTCAGAACTGGATTCCAAATATTGATCTGGTGCAGACGAGCCTCTGTTGTCGAAAACCCAGCTGTGATGAAGCTTTGAGGTCTGAGCTTTCTCTTCATCGTTTCTGCTCTTCACTAGAACAGGGTTGAATGTGAACTCTGTGATGTCAGCCTCCTCCAGTTCCTCTTTAATCTGCGGGGATGTTTGAACCTCCTGGTCCACACTGGGGTTCTGGTTTCGCTGCATCGAAATAAAATCCTCTTTGGTCACAAATAGCTGCTGGACACCTGCAAGAAACAGAAGCACAGATAAATCTTACAGGAAACAATTTTTATATCATCGGCAGATCCTTACTGAGCGAAACCTGAGCCTGACGCTTCCACTGGCTCCGACATAATTCTTGTCCAGTAAAAATAAATTATTCTCAGTGGCTTGCGTTTAAATGTTTGCTTACAAATAAAACATGTACAGCAAAAACAACTTGTCCAGGAGTTGATAATTAAAGAGCGAGGGAGTTCAAAAAACTGTTTGGCTTCACTCTCCATCTTCCCTGTCTGGAACTTTCTCTCCTGCCCCGCCCACGTCACATGACTTAAACATGTTACCAACCTCAAACCAACAAAGATCTACACATAAAGCAAATAGCTTCATGTTATGTATATAATATTTACAAAATTTTGTTTAGGCTCCTACATCATCATGAAGCCAGCACAAACTATCAACAAATTATCATCACAAAGGTCTGTATTAACTTATAGGAAACTATATTTCAAGCTCCATGCACCGACGTTCTGCAGCAAACAATATATGTGGTCAGTCTAATGGACTCAATGGCCTTGATGCCTACATCACAATATTAAACTATATATTATGGCAGAACGACGGCTCAGCGGTTAGCACTGTTGCCTCACAGCAAGAAGGTCCTGGGTTCAATCCCCGGTTGGACCTGGGGTCTTTGTGTGTGGAGTCATGCTCTTCTCGTGCTTGCGTGGGTTTTCTCCGGGTGCTCCGGTTTCCTCCCACAGACCAAAACATGCATGTTAGGCTGATTGGTAACTCTAAAATGTCCCTAGGTGAGAGTGAGAGAGTGAATGGTTGTTTGTCTCTATGCGTCCCTGTGACGGACTGGAGACCTGTCCAGGGTGTACCCCGCACCTCGCCCAGTGATTGCCGGACATGGGCGCCGGCGACCCCTGTGACCCAAAATGAAAGAAGCGGGTAAAAGACAATGGCTGGATGGATGTTATAAAGAAGAACATTTTTTAAATGTCCTGACATAGGACATAAGAGATGCATCCTTCACCTGTCAGTGTTCAGGGACTTATGAACAAATGGCACAAATTTTAATGAAAAGGGTCAGCTACAAAATCTGAACTTGAGAAGAAACCTGGAGAACTACTGCTTAGGATGACTTTAAAAGAAAGTCTGTCTCATTGGGGAGCAAAAATGTGAAGAATTGGATGAAGACTTTTGCACGTTGGCTCAGGGATCAGGAATGCAACATTTTATTTGTGTCTATGAACTTCACACATACTAATTTAGCACACTATAAAAAAAAAAGATATAGAACAGAGTTATGGATCTCCCGTGGTTTGTTCAATTTATCAGTCTCTAAAATGCAGAAGTGATCTCTTCCAAATTCTTGTAGCCGCCTGAACTTTGTTGATCATTTGCTTTGGCTGTTGACAGCTGAGCAAATATTTCTACTGCAGCTGTACAGCTTTTCAGGAGCTGCAGTCAAACGTGTCTCTTTAGAAAAGCTGCAGTGATAATGGAGCAACTGAAAAGTCTCATGTGATTTTATTCCTTTTATCTGAATCAGGACTGCTGTTCAGAAAAGCAGAACGATTTTCATCTCCACTACAGATACGACCTGTTGTGGAATGTCTGACCACATTCAGGGCAGCGTTAAACTT